CAAAGCAATCACAGAATTTAAAACTCCCACCACCCAAAAAGGCGTTAGGTCATTCATTGGAATGTGCTCATACTACCGCAAACACGTAAAAAATTTTTCCAAAATAGCCAACCCATTAACGGACTTAATAAAAGGTGACATTAAAAAAATCAGTTGGAACTCAGAACATGAAAAATCTTTCGAAATGTTAAAACAAATACTAACAACTCAGCCACTGCTTAAACATTTTGATGACAACAAAAAAACATTTCTGACCACAGATGCATCAATAGAAGGTCTTGGAGCTTGCTTAGAACAAGATCATAATGGAACTTTATTTCCAGTTGGATTTGCCAGTAGAAAGCTACAGAAAAATGAAATAACTTATTCTTCGACAACTCTTGAATTACTGGGCCTTTGCTTCGGTGTACAATATTTCAGAGAATTCCTTTGGGGAAGACACTTTACCGTCTTTTGTGACAACATCAGTATGCAATATTATAACAACCTTAAAATACCACCCGCCAAAATTGCCAGATTAACACTCAAATTATTAGATTTTTCATTCGACATACATTATAAAAAAGGAAAAGAAAACAAAGTAGCAGACGCCCTATCAAGAAATCCAATCAACAATATCTCCATAGCAAACATTCAAGATACAACAGAAGTAAACTTACCGGATATACAAATTTCACAACTCCAAGATGATTTTTGTAAAAATATAATCGATGCTCTTGAAAATAAAGATGTTTCTTCGAAATTCAAGAAAAAATCCAGGCAATTTATTATGAAAAACAACCTACTTCATCACAAAAAATTTCTACCAAACAAAACTACAGAAACAACGCTTATAATTCCGCCAAATTTAGTTAACAATATTTTAAAATCATACCATGAATCAATACTAAGAGGGGGACACACAGGCATATCCAGAACCATTCATAAAATTCAAAATAAATATTATTGGCCCAACATAATTAAAGACGTCACTCAATTCATAAAGTCGTGTCCAAGCTGCCAAAAAAATAAAATACAAAGTGGAAAACCCATTGGGAAATTAAACCCAATACCATTAACTAACAAACCTTTGGACCGTCTAACATTTGATTATTTAGGGCCACTAACTAGTAGCAACAAAAAAAAATACATTATTGTGGCTGGATGCAATAACACCAAATACATGTTTACAAAAGCAGTAGTGTCTGCAGATGCCGAATCAACTATCAAATTCATCATACAAATAATAACACAAATGGGTTGCTTCCAATGTTTTTCCAGTGACCGAGGAACCCATTTCAAAAACGAACTCGTCAAAAAAACATTGGACAACTTGGGTATTAAACAAGAATGGTCCACTTCATATTCACCCCAGACACAAGGTCTTGTGGAAAAGTTTAACGGAACACTATGTGCATCACTCAGAAATTATATCGAAAACAATGAACAACATAAATGGTCCTATTATCTACCATATATAACTTTAGCATACAACTCAACACCTCAAACCAGTACAAATTTCAGTCCATTTTATCTACTACATGGCTTTGAACCGATCTTTCCGATAGACAACAAAATATTTCCAGAAAACATACCTTATGATTTATTGCAATCGCTAAAAATATTACAAAATATTCGTGACAAAATTCCAAAGGTATGCACTAGGGGGACGCAGGAATGTTGATTAACAATAGCGATGATTTGGAGTAACGGTTTCTACCTGTGCTTCTTAGTCTAGATGACACTTACGCAGGATGCTATTGTTCTAGAACAATAGCACCCTGCATTTTAACTAGTGCAGGAATAAAACAGATTCACGGTTGGGATAGGTAAACAAATGTGTTGAATAGAAGATCGTTGGCATTCTATGCAGGACTAGAACAGTTTCATGGTTGGGATAGGTAAACAAATATACATAAGTAAATGTATTTGAGGTATCTGGACCCCCTACATTTTGCCGGCCGAATAGTATGTAATTAATTATAACGTATTAAGTTGATTCCAATTACTACTTAAAATCGTTTCTTCTGCTAGACAGGGTGTTTAGTAAGTCAGGAAACGGGTTTCCTGACTTACTGAACACTCTGTAGAAATTTTACCTCAGAGTTTGTAACGTCACAAATTCGAAGGTGGACCGTTTATGATTTTTTGTTATGTCTACTTATTTATTTTATCGCGCGAAAGAACCTTTTTCTGACACAGCGGTGTCAACCACTCATTATTTTACCGCTGACCGCTAGATAAGGCGATAAAAGAGAAATATAATTAAAATCGAATTGTTTATCAGTATTGATCCCTTCCAAAAAGTCTGGCCGTTATCGATTTGAAATTGCCGTTAGACCGGTGTTGACTCTTCTCTATTCTTTCTTCTGTCATTGACCGTGCTAATGTGCACACATTTGTTGTTTTATTGACACTCTTTTTTCAATGATGGAGTAGAGCCGCCAACGGCGAACGGCCAGGTCTTTTCGGCGAAGCATCCAGACCATCGGATGGGTCTCTTCAGAAACCGGGTATCGTTTTCTTTTGTATATTATATTTGTGTAATGAGCTATATTTTATTAATTATTTTATTTCATTTTATTTTATCGTAAATTAACTTAATTTTGTTTATGTGTGGAGAGCACGTGTTTCTCTTTTCTTCTAGTCAACGCTAAGGAGCGAGTGTCCAGACCGCTTCTGATGTTCTTCATTAATTTCCGATTAACATTAACGGATGTGTTCCATTACCGTTCGTGATGTTTGTAATATTATTTGTTTGTTTTGTTTAAATATTTTAGTTTATTTGTATTGCCTTTATTTGTAGACATGGTTTTTGATGCATTCGCATTTTTGTCCATGTTTAACTTAATTTTCTTTTTTTTTAACAATTAAATTAAATTTCCTTATTAATTTCAACTGTAATATTTATTTTATTGCGCGAGTAACTTAATTACTCGCGTGTATTTCATTCCTATTCCTTAATCTAGACACGGGCTACGGTATGTTTTACATATCAACCACATACAACTTTGATTGTCATAATTGTGTTCTATAAACCACGAGGCATTATAGTAATTTATACATATAACGACATATTAACTTAGATTATACTTTTAATTAACTTAAAATTAAATTCCACCTATGGTCCGGTAATCGTATCTGATAGGTATGACACCTCGCCTAGGTGGTGGCGACCCTTGCTACTCTAGCTAGTCGTTATGCAAGTGGCAAACCACGTTGTTGTTACAGGCCGATTTACTAATCTAAAAGCCCGCTTGCAAGCCTACTAAAATAGGAATCCCGCATCTATAGATCCCTTAATTTGTATTCGTGTACAGAAACAAAAACAATTGTAACTGCTCAAGTCAAATTTAAGTAGTTAATAATTTACATTATATAAACTGAGAATTATTTAATTTTCATGACTACTTTAGGGATTTTGAGTTATAAATAAGGGATTATGGGTTTAATACCTTAATTGAATGATGTATTAAAATAAGTTATGTCAATAATCATGTTTATTTACGGAATTTCATAATATTTATGCTACAGCAGATTTAATAATTAAATAAATTAAAAGAATTTTTGCGCTCATACATATGGTTGCACTGATTTGACATCTTCCAATCAAAACACCGTTTTGTTATCGGGCCAAGTGAACTATCTGTTTTCATATAGTTTGTAGTAATAATTGCGAAATGGAGTATTTTGATAACTTAATTGATAATATAGTGTTTGTTAAGCTAAACCAACTTTATAAATGGAATTTTTTATAGGATTCAACTATTAAGAAATTATAAAAAAATTGTGGTTGTTCAGAAAATTATACTATATTTTTTTTGATTTCTTATACATTGTATGAATTAAATATAAATCCATTTATTGGAATTACAATAATTTTTTTTTAATTATGTCATCGAAATAAGTTTTTCATACATAATATATTTGTGTGGTCTGTAAATGGGGTATGATTTTATATATATTCATATTTATTTGTTTTTTATCTTCAAATTGTCATTATGTAAATACTATTTCTAGTATTACTAAAATTTTAATCCGTTTTTATAGTTCTGTATGTATTTTTTAATAAGTGTGCCAAATAGGCACACTGTGTAGGCTTATTATTATGCATGTGTATATTTTAGCTATAATTTTTTTATTTCTTTAATTTATTTGTTTTGCTAGTTTTTATGATTTTATAATTGTGAATATGATAAATTAATTATTATTATATACATTATTTAAATTAATTTTTTTTGTAATAATTAATTGTTTGTGAATTCTGTTTTAATTTTTTATATGATTTTCATCTACGTATTTGTTTTTTCATTTTCCTTAGTTATTACATTATTTTTTAAGCATTGTTAATTAAGTCATTAATGACATTTTTGATAAAATATATAAAATTAAAAACATACTGATTTGTTAATATTGTTTATGAGTTTTTATAATTTATGTAATTTTTATAAAAACAAAAATATATTTTGGTCACGGAGGAGCAGTATGACACTCATAAATACACTAATGATACTATGTACAATATGGTATATAATTTTAAAGTGGATGTAGGCAGTTTGAGAGAATGAAATAAAAATCTGCTAACATCAGAGTAGTTTATTTTTGCTAATAACACTCGTTTGATTTCTATTTTAAATGGAGTTAAAAAATACAATATGAGTACCACACTTATAAATTATTATTATTAGCCCAATTCAAATTGAACTATTTATGACTAAATTTTAAGAAAAATATGATTCCCATGAAAAAATTAAATATTATTGAAAGTATGAACTTTTAGTTGCCTTTCATTTTTTATAGGTGTGTAGAATTTTAAGTAAAGAAAATTTCATATAATATATTATTGTATTTATATTTGTATATTTGGTCATTCTATNTATTGTATTTATATTTGTATATTTGATCATTCTTTCAAAGTTTACAGAATAGTATCATAGATATGAAACAAATGATCAACACCAACTTAATATAGGTACTGCTAAAGAAAAATATTTTAATTCACATTTACTTTTCCTTTGTAGAGTTAAAATTGGTCAAGGAGCTATGGTGTGTAAAGAAATTAAGGTGAAGGGTCAAGTAATTATTGGTTCTTCCACTATAGTTCATCCTGGTGTTACAATTATAGCTGAAGCTGGACCCATTGAAATAGGTGAAAGTAATATTATTGAAGAATACATCACCATCATTCATAAGTAAATATTTTCAAAATAATTTAATTCTATGTTTTATGAAAAGTGTTTACATTTTATTATAAGAACTTATATTAGTGTGTATATAATATATGTATACATATATACACATCAATTTATTTAGTTATAATATTATTATAACTATATAAATTGATGTTATTTTTCTAATTGCATTTTTGTGTTTTCAAGAGGTTGGTGTATTTTTTATGGAAAATTTCTGGCAAATATAATCCATATTTATTACATATAAGAAAACTGATTGTTTGAAAAATTTTTCAGTAGACTTTTACTTAAAAAAATGTAAAGTAATATTACTGATTAGGTAAAAAATATTGGAGATTAGAAAAAAACAACTATATCCCATAGTTGTTTCAGTCTAGATTAAGTAATTTTTCAAACAATTAAAAGTATTCTTAATCTTTTTATGTTATTACTTAACCTTATTAGAATTTTGATAAAAAATGTATCAATATATTATATTTTTGCTCTTTAAAAGAATAAATGTAACCTGAAATCTTAAACCAATAGGAGATTTATATATATATTCTATTTGTTGCTCCCTTTATAAAATAACCTTGATTATGACTTAAAAAATTAATGTAAATATATTAAAATCATTAATTAAATGTCTAGATTTCAACCAGGCTATGAAAAATCTGAACCTAAAACTTTAAAAATAGGATTTAGTAATGTGTTTGAAGTTTATTCAACAGTTGAAGGAGTAAATAGCATTGGAGATAATAATATCATTGAATCTAAAAGTATACTAAAATAAAATATAAATTTTAAATATTCAAAAAATATGTTAATATTTAATCTTCTTTAAGGTTATGTTGGTCGAGATATTAATATTGGAAATGATTGTGTAATTGGAGCTGGTTGTCGTTTAACATCTATTGTACCAGTTGAGGATGGAATTTGTATTTATGGAAAGAATTGTATTTGACAAAAGGCTTACTGCAAACCTTCAGTAATATATTTATATTCATTTTTTCAAATTATTAATATTAAATCCTGTATAAATTTAATAACTTTAAATGACCTTTACTACTTAACTTTCCTATAACACCTTTAAACATTGTACAGTGTAATGCTAAAAAAAAAACATTTAAAACTTTTTCTATATACGAATAATGATGAATAACATATAAAGCAGTAAAAAAATGTTAAGGTAATTACAATTAAAAACTTAACTAAATATGAAGCACTTTTCTCTTATATGAAATAGAAACTCTACTCTCATGTAGTTATTATTAAGTCTAGCTTAATTTCACTACCCTACTACTTCCAATGCTATATTACATTGATACAGGCTTAATATTTCATGTTTAAATATAAATTATTTCCTATCTTAATATTCAATATATATTATAGGTTCCAAGTGGTCATCGAGAATTTTTAGTNCAATATATATTATAGGTACCAAGTGGTCATCGAGAATTTTTGATGAAATTACTACCTAGTTACCATCTATTGAAGAAAAATAGAAATACTACTGAAGGAAGTTAAAGCTACGTACACTTAAACTATGTTATTTTTATTAACCAACTTATTTTGTATATAAACATAGTATTAATTAGATATACAACATAAAAAATAATAATACAAAAATGTTTGATACTTTTTTAGCTTCGATGCGAAGCTGAGAAGGTATTGGTTTTACTAAGATGTGTTTTTTTTTTGTGTCTGTTACCAATTTTTCTCAGCTCTCACCGAACCAATTTCTTTCAATGACACGTCAAAAGATCACAAATTGTATCTAGTCGAAGACATTACCCTCAAAAATTGAAAAAAATGCCCTCGTTCCCCGTAAATGGGGGAAACCTCCAAAAAAATTACAAATTTAAAAATCGCTAATTTTCAAAATTTTTTCAATTTTTTTTACTTAAAAGTGCTATAACTTTTTCAAAAATGAACATATCAATATAATTCTTCTTTATATAGATGCATGATGTCATTACCTTTCGTTTGGTATATTTTTTTCATAAATTTAACCCTTAACCTGCCCACAAGGGGAGATTTAAAATGACAACTTTTTCACAAAAAATTAACTTTTTCAACTTAACTTTTGAAAATGTTCCGGAAGGTCTGACACTTTTATATATATCTTAAATTAAAGCTGATGTAATGTACTTTATTATGGTAAAAAAAAATTTCGGACTTTATTTTATTTTCATGGTGAAAATGGCTACCGAATGCTATTATTGTGTGAAAATTCTCGATTTTATTTTTTACATTTTTAACTTTATAATGAGATAACTTATTGAGCAGTGTATGGATCAACATAATATTTTTTAATAATCCCTTTTTCATTCGACATACTTTATCTTAATCAGGATATTAATAAGGATCTAGCAGTTTATAANTTTTTTCAATCACTGTATACTTTTTTAATAGAACTTTTTCCAGGGAAATAAAATATTTTGTTACCTGTGATAACAATAACAGTAACAACTAATTAGTCATTTCCACATTTTCAACTATTCTGTATAAATTATCTAGAATAATTGTTGAAATAAAAAGAATACTTTTTGGAATAATTGTGTACATATATGGAATTTTTTTGTTTATACTTGTCGTGAACCCATAATTGTTTTATAAATATTAGTTATAACGAATTTATTGTAACACTAAAAAGTATTATACTAATATTTAGAAAGTAAACATTAATACTGTAAATTTCATGTTAATTATATCCTTAATTGTTAATAACATTATTCCTAATACAAAAAGATCTGATAACTGATTCAGTGGTCAGTGTTTAATCAGTAAATGTTACATTATAATTGTTATTATTTTGACTCTTCCTGACAACACTTATTCGAATGATCGAACTTGGACTAAGAACACCTAGTTCATCACATACTTGTGGAATAATTTTGTAAGAAGGATAAAATCATTGCGGAAAACTTATACATATCTTTGTAATAATACAATATTTATATAAATATTTTATATAATATTGCTATATTTTTGTAATTAGTATGAAAAAAATACGAAATGCTTTTGGAAAAATATGGAATAGTTTATTCTACTGGTAAAGTATCAACATTTACTGATTTTATTAGTTTTAAATTTTAAAAGGTTTCACCAAGTTTTGGAGATCGATGGAATTTTTTTATTTTATCACATTGATCGGTTAAACTAGATATAATATGTGGTCTTTTGGAAAAACCATTGTAAAAAATTGGTTTTGTAGATACTAGGAAAAAATGAAAACCTACCTATCGAAGTTAAAAATATCTAATTATTTAAATTTTTTAATGTTGACATAGACATCAAAAATTTTTTAGGTATGATATTTATTTTCAAAATGTCTAAAAATTAATTTACAATGGATTTAAAAACAAGTTTTATAGATGCAACTAACATAATAAATTTTGGGGTTGTTAAATTATTTATCGCGCATCATTGTCTGGCGTTACAAACTGTCCTTTTTGCATCTAACGAATTCTATTGTTTTATTAGGTACACGATCAAACTTCTATTTGTAATAATACAAAAAATAAGCAAAAAAAAAAGTTGTTGGTTGGGTATATTATTTTGACCAAAGTTGGATGTTAGGGATTTGGTCAATTTAGGAGCAACGATGTTCTATCGGGGTAGTAGAGTCCGAGGGTTTAGAACAGTAAAGACAAGTAGATATAAAAAGATACAAATTAAGTTCCTCTCATAGAGGTATTAAAACGCTGAGGTATTCTTGTAGTGGCCGGGGTCTTGGCCTCCTATCTGACACCCAGTCGAAGCGTGATGTTAACTGGTATGTGCTTTAGTGGAAATACTGAGGCGTTCATGGAGTGGCGGAGGCCTCCTCTCAGACACCCAGTCGAAGTATATGACCAAGCACTAACTAGTTATTAATAATTCAATTAAATAATGTTTAAAAATCTATTGCTTTACCATTCTTTACTCAGGTTATTAATTCTAAATAATTGGATTAATGTAAATTTACTTACTTCTTTTGTATATATTGCGTTCAGTTTTATACTGTTTCTTTTTTAATAAATATATGAAATATTGACGCAAAAATAATTGTATTTGATATCACTTTAAAATGTACCGACGACAACACATGGTCGCGGCTAGTTTGTTCAAAATAAATTAGTTAGAAGAATCCTGAATTCTTTATTGAATTCAAATCTTCAAAAAGAAGAGAGAATTGAGGAGCTCGCTGGCACGCTCGCTCACTCACTAATGTGCAAGCAGAACTAAGCCTTTTTATATTATTTTTAATTACCCCTTCATGGGTTGTTGTCGTCAGCGCATTTAGTGATTCTCAATTTATTGTATTAAATTGAACATAACATGATAGTTATTTTAAGATAAGATGTATAGTGTACAATAATCAATTTAACATGTATATACATATATAATAGCTAGTGTACAACAGTGTATATGTTATAACAGATAAATTAATTAATTTGTTTGTATACTAGTAATATAAAATACAGATTATACATTTTTCATTGATAAATGTAAGATGCGTAATGCAAAGCATTAGGCATATTATGATATCCGCCCTAATTTTTTTAAGTGTTGTGCCCTCACAACTATTGTTTAACATAGGCAAAAAATTGATTAAATATAATAAGAATAATTGTATAGTAAAGGTTGATTAATAAATTTAGTATTTATGATATAGAATAATTATTATGTGAATATTAAATATTAGTAGATAATATAAATAGTTAAAAGTTAATAACATGAGCAATTGCATTTGAATGATTAAGATTAAAAATTAAAAAAAAAGATTATAGAATACAAAAAAAAATAATAGTATGATAGTGTATAAGTATGTATAGTGGCATAAAATAAGACAATATAAAATTTTTGTATACACTTTTTTAAATTTATGCAAAAATAATAGTGATAATACTAATTAAAAAAAACCCAGCACAGGGGGGTCGCGGCACAGTGGTGACGTGGCATAGTTGGATCAAGTATAATGATATCTGACAGTGATTAAAATCACTATCAAAAAAAAACGCTTCGATGCAAATCTT